CGCCACCCGTGCAGTGGATGCCCCTCCTTAGCGTGCCCCATCCCTGCATGGCATGCACTGCCCTCTCTCTGGGCTTTGGCTACAACTGTCATGCCATCTGCTACCATGAGGGCATTCTGTGACCTCAGAGTGGACCCCTCCCCAACCAGAAAGAAACTACAGGAGTAATCTAAGTGGCTTCAGGAGCTACAAAGGACACTCTTTGCGTGTTTGATCACCAGAACTCACAGGCCCACGAGGACCAAGGGTCTCTGATCTCTGGTCTCCAAATGTGTCGTTTCCCCAGTGTGAGCAATGAACTTCCTATCATTTGTTTCCTGCACAGTTACAGTTACTCTGACACATGGGTTGGTGACGGGGCCCAGGGATCTGAAAGCTGCTATCCTTATTCATGCAGGCCTCCACACATGGCTGGGTCTGCTCCAACTTTCTCTTGCAGAAATGCCTCTCCCTGCACTCAACACAAGGTCCTACCCACAGGCATTTCTGAAAATTCTGATAACCAGAGTCTAGGGTCCTCTCTTAGCGCCTCCTCATCACATTTTTTCCCCTATATTTTTGAGTTTTGTTTTCAACATGAAGTCTAGTCTTTAACATTTAATCCTGGCAATGTCTCAGGAACCAGCAGAAACTCCAACAGCTTCACCACCAATGGTTCAAGGACATAAAACATTTAAGGTCTGCACAGGATTTTCCTGAGCTCAGCCACGTAGCCACTTAGAGTCACTATAGCTAGGGTGCCAAGGAAGTGGCTACTGCTCCAGATGACAGAGTTTGGTGACACTCACATGCTGTCACTTGTGCAAGCATGCCAGTTTATCTGTTGGAGGCTTTAACTAGTCTCCAGAGGAAGGCTTTGGAGGCCAGGCAATGCGTGGAAGGTCAGTGTCCCTACCAAAAGCTCCTTCGGGGACTAATGCATGAAACTGTGAGGCTGTGATGCCCAATCCAGAAAATCAGAAGATTCCAGAACTGTGTAAGATCTGCTTTGAAAATAGGCATTGAGCAGAAATGGCCTGAGTGACCAACTAGGCTGTATTAAAGCCACAGGGGCAGGGGTTGCCCCAGCGATCATGACACTACCTGCCCTGCACGTTCAACACAGAGCATTGGTGCTTGAATGTTGGGTCCATTTAGTTTTGCTCTGGTTCTGTTTCCTGTTCTTGTATGTTGCGAGTATGTAACTTTTTTTTTTTCTTTACAGAGGTTCACAGCTGACTTTGCCTTGGGTCTCAGAAGAGACCCAAGAGACTTTGAACTTGAGCTTTCAATGTTGGAGCTATAACATGGGGACTCAAGGTGATGGACTGCACACATTTTGCCTTCGAAGGTGGTATGGGCCTCTCAAGGTGCCAGAGGTGGAAGGTTATAGTTTAAGATGTGTTTGGGTATCTAGTTGATAGGGTGTGGACTTGTGACTGGATGGAGAGTTGCCCAGCTTTAGCAAAGCATACTCTGGAGTGTGTACATGTTTCAGATCCTTGCTTGTTCAAACACTGACCTGACCTATCCTGCTGGACTCATGACATGATGGCACAATTGTAAGAGGCTAACAAGCAGGAGGAATGACCTAGCAAGAAGCAAGTCACTGGAAGCATGTCCATGAGGCTCTTCTTGTCCTGGTTCCTCCCTGCAATCCTTCCCTCTGCTTCCCGGCTGCCATGAGCTAACGAGCTTTGACTCCCTCCTGCCAGGACAGAGGGACCCAGGAAACCTCTAGCCAGGAGAAACAATTCCAACTTAAAAGTTGCTTCCACCAAGTCCTGTGATCACAGATATGGAGGAGGAGAGAATACATCTGTCTGGCATCAAAGCCCAATTTTGGGGTAATTATGGCACATTTATGTCATATACCAACTTGAGAACTGACAAGATCATTAGGAACACTAATCGGGTACCTGAAGTATCTACCCTACTCATTTGCTCTCACTTGCTTCAGATTTTTGGCTGTTCTGAAAATTTAATACTAATTTTATTCTTTTTGTCTTTTAAGTGATAATTTTCTCTTTCATGCTACCATTAGCAACTTGAAATTTTTTACAGGTATGGGCCACAGATTTTTTTTTTTTCATCGTAGTTTGATCTATAGCTACCTTGGATTGTTTTCCAAAATAAATTTGTGATTGATTTCTAGGGGATCTTGGTACATTATCATGTGACTTGCAAATAGAAGCATTTATTACGCTCAGTGTTCTGAAAGTTACTTCTTGTGCTAATATATACAGGACTATTAAGTAGCAGAGCAACTGTCCTGGCTGTTCTGGCTTGGCAAAGACATCCACTCAGGGACAAGACACGTCTGATCTTTAGGATTGAAGACACACATTTTACTGTAAGGATTTCTCCACTCCTGTCTCTCTAAGTGCAATGAAGGAATGGATACTGAAAGATGGCAGTTTTTCAAATATTTTGTGAGTATTTAATAGACTTCCTAATATAGAAACACTTGGCATTTATGGTATAAACCTGGAATGTCATATTTCTTTCCTGTAGTGCTGATAGGTACAGTTGTTTATGGTGCATTTGGGAGCCTCCGAGAGGTCAACATCAGATGTCTTTCTCACTTTGTTTTGAGAATGTCTCAGTCTAGTCAGCCAGAGTGCCCCACAAACTCACCTATCTCTACCTCCCCCACCACTGGGATTACAGATGTATGCCTTCACATTCAGCTTCTTATGTATATGCTGAGGACCCAAACTCAGGTCCTCATGCCTGCACAAAAAGCACTTTACTAACTCAGACATCTCTCCTGCCCAATTTTGTATTTCTCAGTGTAGTATTTGGTCTCAGGTATTTTTCTTTATCTGTTGCACTGATAACCAGAATAGTAATGACGACGTTGCTTTGTGTGGACACAGAATGTAGCATGGCTGCATCTCAGTTGCAATGAGTTCATTGTATTGCTGCTCCCACAGAGAACAGGTTAAGCTAGATGCCCACTGTGGTCTCTTAATAAACGAAATTGTCTGTATCATCCATATTATTTGCACAGATCTGCAAAGCTTGGCTTTGGTGACTTTATTCCGAATATAACACAAATGGCCATGAGTACAAAAGGGCATTCAGCTTCATCAGAATGCAAATTAAAACTACCAACATCCCTGCATACCTGATAGGACAGTTGTCACAAAAATATATAACCCATGCTGCCGAGAACCAGAAGGTGGGAGCCCTGGACTCGACTGAAGAGACTGTAAAACGGTGCAGCCTCTAGAGACCAAGATGGTGGCTCCTCAAAACTAAACAGAGTTATCATGCCATCCAGTATTCATTTCTGGATACACAGCCAAAATCACTGAATGCAGGACATTTAAATGCTCCTGTTCACGTCTTCACAGTAACAAGGTATAAGTTACCAGATGCTCAACACATGGACAGAGAAGCAAAGTGTGGCCCACCAGCAGACTACAAAGGAATTTCTGAAATCAGTTGCCATGAAGACCTTGAAGAAAAAAATGTCACAAAAGCAAACTCCTGCATGATTCCTTAGTCATGAAAGCCATACGGAGCAGAATGGCAGCTGCTGGGAGTCAGGTGCTCAATGGGGACAGAGTCCAAGTTGCCCAGGATGAAGAGGGTTCTGCACCATGTAAGGGCTGCCCAGGTGTGAAGCAATACCTCAGAGAACAGGTGAGCACACCACGCCCAGAGCTCGTGAGATTTTTCTACTGCTCCATCAGTAACCTCCTGTCGGGCATATGTGCTTCCCCTTTTTTTCCTTAAGCAGCATATGGTCTATTTTGATTTTTGAAAAACAAGATTTTAATTTTACTTTATTAAAATATTTTCTTAAGTCCAAGGGTTTCTGCACTTGCTAGGAGTTGAAGAAAACGTGGTAAAAGTGAAGTCCCATTCCTTAGCTAGCCATGACTAGAAGCTGAGAACACCCAGGTTCTCCCCAGAGCAGGGTGGATCTCCACTCAGTGCCTCCTTTGAGGAGTCTACCTTGCAGGCAAAAGGAGTTATGTTTTTACAGCTGGCCCACCAGCAGGACTACAGCCACACTCCAAGAACATATTTGGAATGGGTCTCTGGTCCCCTATCCTCCAACCAATACTTGGATACACAGCCCTTCAGGTGCCCTAGGCTGGGCCAATGGCCAAAATGTAAAGAATGATTTACAACTGGGCTGGGTGGGACGTAATGCTAGACAGTGTCTCTTTCCGACCCAAGTAACTAGAACTTCCCCAAGTCCCTTCCTATTGACTGTCAACACAGAACCTTGGCCTGATGGACAAGGTACAGGGCTGACAAGGCATGGCTGCATATGCACCTGCCTTATCCTCACTCAGACACTGGATGATGAAGGTCTGGGTGATGAAGGTCTGGGTCAGGTGTGACATGCATTCCCTTCTCAAGAAAGCTAGGAGCAGGTAAGAGCACTACTGTGCAGAATAGTAGTTGGCCCAGGCAAGGGGAGAGCTACACAGGCTAATGGGTGGGAGAAGGGAGATGACCCAGCCCAGGATGAAGCCTGGCTCATGGGGCACAATACTGTCTGGCTTCTCTCTTTAAACAGTACCCAGAAGCAGGGCAGCTGTATGATGCCTCATTCCCAAAGCAGACCGAGAATACAAGATCTGGAACAAAGCCAGCAGCTGCAAGGAGGGGTGGGACAAGATGGTGCTATGGCTGATGCCTCCATGTCTAGGCCCTTGAGAACACAGTGGCAGAATATGCATTTCTTGCAAGTTGTAACCATTACCTGTGAATGCATTTGTAGTTCTAATGAGAGAACTCCCTGACCCCAGCAACCCCATGTCATTGTTTGGTCACTTCCAAGTCCTACAACCCAAAGACAGCGGGGAAACTGTTACCTAACTCCACGGTTCCACTAAGGAAACACCTGTGCTGAAGCTTTGGGTTGTGCTGGGGGCGGGGGTGGGGTGGGGTGGGGTGTGGGGAGCTCTCCCCAATCCCACCCATCCAGGACCAGCCATTGCCCAGAGCACTGTATGGGGCGGATAGACGCAAGAGGAAGTGAACTCTTGGAGCCAGGAGAACCTCTAATATTTTATTGACAGAATTTTTGGTTACAGTACAGCTCAAACACATTATTTGCTATGAAACCACACAAATGATACACACAACAATACATTTTCTTTGCTCCTACGTCACTACTATTTTTCACATACACAGCCTGAAAGAGTTCCCAAGTGGTTAATGCCAAGGAAAACTGGAGTAAAGCACGGCAGTGTCACTCATATGGGAAGAGCACGTGACTGGCAGAAACACGAAGACCGGCAGAACAGTGAGGCCAGAAGAAAGCAAGGCGGTGTCTCGTGGTTTCTAAGCAGCCAGCGCACTTCCAGCAACATAGTCGCACTCCCAGCTGCCTGCACAGCAGGGAGGCGCACACACATACACGACGACGAGGCCATATCAGCAGGGGCAGTATAACGGCCACACGGCCACCACTTCCAAGCGAATGAAAGCACGCTACCACTAACACTGACCCACGCCCTGGGTCCTGCAAAGGTAGAGGGGTAAAAACAGAGAGGGGTGGTTAATGACATGCAGACCACAGCTGAGAGGCACTGGCATCTTTAGGCCCAGAGTCAAACTGCAAAATAACAAGCAAAAGGTCAGGCCCTCCAATTCAGGTTCTGGAGGAGCAAATCCCAGGAAAGACCTGTTGAGGCAAAAGGGTTAGAGAGACTGGAGATGTGGCCCTGGTGCAGACATCCACAATGTCCCCTCCTGTCAGAGGGAGCCTGACTCAAGTGTATCAGTGGCCACTGCAAGTGTGGAAACCATGGAAGTAGAGGCAGAGAGCATGCACACGGGAGGATCACCAGGAGGGGAGAGTGACAATAGCTCAGGTGTGAACAAGAGGGAAGGAAGCAGAAGGGAAGGAGGGAGCCAGAGCCGAGCCAGAGCCCAGCCAGGCCTGGGGAGTGGACCCAAGAGTGGGAGAAGAGAACAGAACATCAGAGACTCATAAAGGAAACCACACTCCATTACCGCTGCACCTGCAAATTAAACAGTGACATTAATGCCTAGGAGGGAAATCCTCACAGAGGACACAGCTCTGGATCCCACACCTGTGAAATGTAAAGAACAAGCGGTTATCTGCTCCTCAGGGCCAGTCAGCGAGGCTGGGTGCAACATGCTGTCTACAAAGTGTGTGTTCTAAGACAACAGTGCAGAATGCAAAAGGTGTTAGTCCCCAAACCAGCCTCCGCTACACGTGTCCTTAAAATGAAAAGTAGTTTAGCAGAGAGTCATCTAAGAAGGTCAAGAGGTCTACTATCTAGAGCACATTAAACTTCCAAACACAGCACACAGTAACATGCACCTGCCCATCCCACCTGTGAGACTTGTGAGACAAAAATTACACAAAGTTCTCTCTAAATCATCTGCATTTCCCCACAAACCTTTTCAAATCAGTAAACTGAACCAGGAAGAACACTTATCTCTCCCTACGGTAGGTCTAAGGGACAAGGAGAGAGCTTCTCAGTGAAAGTGCCTGTCCTTTCAGCCTATCCTACCAACACACTAACAGAAAGAGTTAGATGAGCAGCAGTTTCTAGGAAAGTCAGGTGAGGTACGTTAACAAGTGCCCTTTCCTGACCCCTGATACCAGCAGGAGGTATACCTGGGATCCAATATGAATCAGTGGATTACTCTGGTTCCAGTACACAAAGCCATGGGTTTGTGTACCTAAGAAGTTAGGCATTTTAAATGACAAAAACTAAATAGGTTGCAAAAAACCTTACAGAAAATCCTTAGGATTTAATAAGTCAAGGCTAACTGCCTTTCCAAGTTTTATATTTAATGTAAAAATAACACTTCACAAAATTGAAAATCCCCAAGCCACCGTTGCAGTATTATTGGACATGGTCAAGTATCTAAGGCTCTCCCATAACTGAGCTAAGCTTCTCACGGCTTCCTCTGTGGGGAGGGGTCTTGTTCTTGTCCACCCTGTGCCCATTAGTCAGCTCCTTTGCAGAGCACCTCAAGGTACGGTCTCGCATGGTCAACACCTTTCCCACTAGCTCTCCCAGGCCTCTTCTCCCTCTCTGAGAAACAAAAACAAATGGGCATGAGAGTGAGGATGCAAGGCCAAAGCTGGGGCCAACAAGGGGGAGGCAGGAATTCAAGCTGATTCCCAGCAAGGGAAACAGCAAGCAACAGAGCCGCCCCTTGGAGCCCAGAGCTCTGGCACAGGGACATGCTTCCTGACTTGTTCGTTTGGTCTTGGGTCAGAGGACACAGAGAAGAGCCTCAGAGCACCCAATGACGACCAAGAATAATACGTAGCTACTGCACAGACCTCTTGGGCTAGTGCCTTTACACCACTATCTTTGACTAGCATCAGCCAACGGTCTACTTCAAGCTTACCTTCCCAATATTGCTACAAGGAAATAAAAGACAAACAAAACAAAAACCAAGACAGAAAACAGGTATAGTTCTTAAGCCTAGTCCTCCAAGAAAGATCCTTCACCTAGCCTATGTCTAAGAATTCCCTTACGTACCCATCTGTGGGGCTCTACACTTGAGTGAAAGACCACCCTTGGGGACCCATCAGAGGTGTATATCACTGACATTCCCATCCTTAAGACTCTCTCTCTCCTCATCCACCGGACCACTGTCCAGTCCTCCCTCCCATGCCTTTTAGGTTCCCTGCCAGCTTCTGTGAGCAGCAAAGCCCTCTTCTACCTGCCGCAGGCCAAATGCTGCTTGGGGGGAAAATAACCCCTAGGTGCAGGACCTAAGCTCCATCCTGATTCAGACAACCATCCCAGCCGGACCTTTGCACATCATATGAGAACTACCCAGATGAAAATGGTTATGGAAAACCCACCTCCCACCCCATCCAGCCACACTCCTCCACGACAAGGCATGGGCGCAGGACCTGCACAAGAAGCTGCCTATTTGGGTTGGGTGGGGGCCAAGGTGGGAGTTTACCTCAGAATCTCTTTTAGAAAAGAAAAGGTGAGATTTCCCCCTCAAGAAGAGTATCAATATAAGGATTTAACAAATGTGGCCAAGCCAAGGGCAACACAAGGTTATGTTGAGGTAAGCAGCTAAGTGAACTCACAATCATTACAGCACAAAATAAACAAGGCAAAAAGAGGGAAAGTTATCTATCCCCTCCCCCTACTCTCCACCTCAGGACAGATACGAGAGTCATTCCTTCAACCTTCTGGAACTTGTGAACAAATAATACACAGATGAGGGTTAATGTATTGACTTACTACCATCTTTATGAAAATCGAATGTACACACAACAACAATTACGAAAGTGTCTCCATTAAACTTTGATAAGACAACAACAAAAAAAAGAACTAACAAATAGCTAAGATGTTGCTGTTTGAGTTGAAAGCATTTCCAATAACGTTTTAATCTCAAAAGGTCCATATTTACACAGTATGCTAATGCTTTTCTTCTCATTTGAAATGCATGATAAAGAAAGAACAGAGATAATGGTTGCAGCAGATCTTCCACGGTTGGAGTTCGGGTGGTGGTGTGACGTCACTGTGAGAAGTGCACTGCAAGTGGGGAGCGTTCTTTCTAATTCTGCTTCTTTATCTTTCTGTGGTTTCCTTCACAGAAGCTAAGCCTTGAAGACTGGCCTGCCTGCTCTGACAGTCCACTCCAGGTGGACGTGCACCAAGGCCAGAGTGAGTGGCTGTTCTAAGCAGTGTTTGGAGCTGGTCTCTCTGGACACTGCAAAAGAGAAAGCTGGCTCATGTGTGCAGACTGTTAAGGGACACACATGCTCCTGGGTACCTCATCACACTCAAAGTGGCCCTGAGGCCTGAGGTGAACAGTGGTGTTGATGAGGATGTTTCCTGAAGTGACTTCAATGCGCCAGTGCCTACTTTTCAGACAAAAATGCAGATTTGGGTTTTAAAGGCCCAGCACTCAAAACTATTTAAGAAGCACCTGTCAAACTCCTTTTACTGTGTCCTAATCCTCAACTTCCTACATGGCCTCTATCTCGTCCAGCTAGAGCTAACATATTACCAAACTCGCCAATTTAGTGAATGATCTGTCAACACCCCTGTGTCTAAGAGAAATGAGTGGGAGTGGCAGTGGAGCGACCAGCTGGCAGCACTTGGGTGGGTAGGGCCAAGCTTGGTAAAGGCTGACTCTCAGTGCACCCGCCAGGGGCGAGGCAGAGGCTTTGTGGTTGGAGGTGGTACCATAGCCACAAGGTCTTCTAAGATACCCTATGAATACCTCACCTCAATTGCCTGGAACCCAAACAACCACTATACTGCCCCAGTGCTCCTTGCCAGCACTAATATCATCTCTGAATTGGTCCCATGCAGTTTCACAGGGCCTGGAATACCGTTCTCCAGTTGTTAACACTGGCAACCTCATTGAAAACGCAAAGTAAAACGTCAGCTGTGGAAGCCAGCTGCTTCAAATCCTGCACCTACTCATTACCCTGTGACAGTAAGTGACAACAGACTTCTGTCTCCGTCAGTCCTGTTAAGATATGTAAAATAACATTACAGGTATAAATACAACTAAAAAGTCCTGAGTGCGGCCTAGGGTCATTGCCCAGTTTAGAGTGTGTCCCAAACACTGACGCGCTCATGGGGGAAACATAATAAGGCACTGTGTTCAGTGTCTGCACAGCATGGACTTCTATGGATACTTTGTAGAAAGCGAGTCTCACCTGTTGGAATTGACCAAAATGACTAATGTGGACAGATACACTTATCTTGAGCAGCATCAGCCTTGCTGAGAAATAAATCCATCCCTCACACATGTGAGACAGAAGGGCAACCCAAAGAAACTCAGAGCCCTGAAGGACAGTGAGGTAATCAAAGCAATGACAGCGCACACCACAGAGCTAGGGCATTTAAAAAGCAGAGGGCCCAAGTAGGTCTGACTACCCTTCAAGCAGTGCCTCAACCTGTGCCAGGAAACTAGGCCAAGAGGCTGCCTGTGGGGTGACAGAGCCACCGGCCCTGGAGCTCCCTGTGCTTGCTTAGCTAGCACGTGCCCACCTGAGAGTTTCTGCTGAAACAGGCAGCACTTTGGAAGCATTTACAAGAAGCAGAATCGCCACTTCCATGGCACCAATCCCAGTCACCCATCTCACACCCTGGCTTTCCAGGGCAGGTGAGTGTCAATCATAATCACCCGAATTTTTACCTATGCTTTACCAGAGCCTGTGAGGGCTTTCTGAGACCACTCCAGTTAAGCCTGGTTGAGAATTCTTTTCTAGCCTGTACTGAAGATAAGTGCAACCATTATCAAATATTCTTCGCTGTGGAAAAATCCTTGGAATTTGAGCTGGTAACATTCTTTCCTGAATCTAAGACTGTGACCAATCACATAGTAGGATCACAAAGAACAAGGTCTACATGCACTGTAAGCACTTGGAAACAAAAGAACACGAGAACAGAGTTCTTGTGGACAACAAATTCAAAGCAATCTAACACCAGACTCCAATCCCATGTCCACCAGTTTAACTCTCTTCTGGAATCACCCTGTGGCTGGCTGGCGCGCAGACAAGTTGGCAAACTGTAGACCGGAGAGACCTACACTTCTGGGGATCCTGTGCCGACCTATAGCTTCCTTGAAGAAATTCCACAGTGTGTGCAGCATGAGGTCAGATTTTCCCATTCAAGATCACTCCACTATCAGGGCCACATTTATGTGGGAGAGATCAATCATGTGCCTGTGGAAATTTGAACAGACAGTTAACACAAACTTTATGATAGCAATTCACCAAGGTGCACAAAAGTGAAGTAGAACTTGATGAGCAAAATCTAAGGTGTATGGAAGCAGAAGAGGCCTTCTCCTGACAGCAAAAGATTATAGAAAAGATGTGGAGCTGTGTTCTGCACCTCTGTACATCACAGCACAGCACCCTCCTCCCCTCCGCCCCCAGTCACCAACTACAGAACACAGAGGCTACCTGTGGAATTTCTGCTGAAATGCTAGCGCGTGGGCTGGCTCCTTGAACTTTGCTATGGCTTTCCGTTGCTGGGGAAGCATCTGTAAACTCTAGGGGAAGAAAACAAAGACATTTAATTAATGCCTACTGTGACATAAAATATGAGCAATTACATGTTACAAGCTTCTATACAGAATAGCACACGAGGCTGTCACTTGGAACATGAAAACAAGCCACGTGTCCTTTGCCTCCCTGGGCACCTGGGCAAAGCCATGCTGCTGATTCGCTGGGGAGTGACGGGTCTACCCTCTAGTATGATACTCAGCCCTCCCCCACCTGGCCACACCAGCCTCCCACACTCTGAGACTAACATGAGTACCCATGGTAAAAACTCTTTCCCTATGCCTTTTGATGGTGTCCTCACCCATCTAAAAAATGGCACTCATCCTTGGTTTACCACTGGGTAAATGGGTTATGGCCACATGACATGATGGGGTGGGGGTGGCGTGGGACACATAACACATCCACCAAATGTCCACTCTGGGTGAGGGGCCCTATGCATGGATGGCACACTGAGCCCCTAGAGCTCTGGATTTTTTTCAGTTCTACATTTCTACAAATGTAGCAAACCTGGCTCTCAAGTGAGAACTCTGACAAAAGCTGCACACTGAGAAATGGCAAAGCAGGGATCTTAATTCAAGGCAGGCCCCATGGCCTGTTATCTCACTGCTTTGGCCAGCTGCCTTTCCAAGAGTCAACGTGGCAGTGAGAAACAAACTCACAATAGCTGGGCATTTCAATCTAGTCCACAGAATTACTAAACAAACAAGTATGCTAACACAGAAAACGAAAACCTGGCCGGAGGCAGGAATCGGATGCTAGTTATCACTACATTATGGCTCACACCCAGTACTGGCCTTGAAGTCAGAGTCACTGAGCCACAAGGGGAGGAGTGGCTTTTTGTTCTCAGATACTGGAGGTTCCTGGGGTAAAAACTTAATTTCAGGCAAAGCCTAGCAAACAGATTTGTTCAAGTGAGGGGTCTTGAAGTTACACTGACCTTCCTTTCTTCACTCTAAGCTTTAACCTAGCTCTGCTCTCACCACAGTGACTTTCTGACTCAAGGGTCTCAACTAGCTGGCGCTCTCCATTTGAAACTTAAACACCAGGAGACATACACCTCATGTATCTCTTGCTCCACCTTTCCCCCAGTCTCCTTTGGTCTAGAAGAGCTTGTAGAGTGTCAGGCAGTAGCATGCTAACTGAGACCAGCAGTTGCTATGGGCTCACTGCCCCACCACACACAATTCTCAGGTCTGAGGTACTAAAGTATGGTTTACCATCACTCTCTCAAGTAAAAGGCTTGAAAGAACAGGTATCCTCTTGGCCAACACCAGTACTAAGCGAGTGAGCACTAGGTGGTGCCATACCCAAAGCATATCAACCCTACATTTCATTCTAAACACCAAGGTATAATTCCCCAAACACACAATTTCTTCTCAAAGCAGCACAGCAGTGCTGGAGAGCTAGTTCATCCACTTAACACCATTTCTTTGATATCTATATTTAAACCAGTCAAAGTAAGCAAAGATTCTTGAAACCACATGTCTATCACTTAAAAAAAAAATTAAAAGTTGAAGTGTGTGTGCGTGCACGCCAAGAAGGCCAGATGTGTCAAATGTTTACAGGCAGCTGTGAGTCACCTCATGTGGGTGCTGGGAATTGAACTCTAGTCCTCCTGAAGAACAATACACACTCTTAGCTGCTGAGCCATCACTCCAGCCCTGAGTCACTTCTTTACCCATCAAATACTACCAGACCTTGTTTTGTTTGGTGCATGCCTTTAATCCCAGCACTCAGGGTGCAGAGGCAGTAGGATCTCTGAATTCAAGACCAGGCTGGTCTACAGAGTGAGTTCCAGGACAGCCAGGGCTATATAGAAAAACCCTGTCCTAAAATAAAACGAGAGAGAGAGAGAGAGAGAGAGAGAGAGAGAGAGAATATGAAAGAAAAAGAAATGCAGTAATTTCACAAATGCTGGGCTTAAAAATCCACACAATCCTACTCAAAACCATCCTACTGACCTAAGACCAGTAGGAACCAATTGCTCTCTTCCAAGGTGAATAGGCCTTGGCCCATCAGTCCCTCAGGGACTCCCAGGGTGGCACACACAGCACTGAATCTTCTAATTCATCTAAAGGATAGGCATGTTACTGGCATAACCTGGGAAATTCTCCATTGGCTTTCAGATCTTCTTCTCCAACACATGCCATTTATCAACAGCAACATTTCTTCTGCTGGGGATTTTAGATGGCCACAATAAACTTTATTTAAAACACAATTATTCTGATTGTTCTCAGAACACAAAACAAGTAGCAAAAGGAGAGGAAAGCCACTGAAGAGGTCTGAATTAATCACAAAGTACAAAATTCAGAGTATGAGACAGGTAAGACAGAGGTAACATTGTCTCAAGTAATTATCTCCCGGCAGTCTGTGAGTCCCACTCAACATGTCTGCTGGGGATCTTCGGAGTCAAGAGAATACCAGGGATTGCTTATACTGAAGCCAGGGCACATGGCAAGAGCTACAGCTGCCCTCATTCTCAGTGCAGAAATCCTCACAAGTGAGAATCCTCACAAGACCCCATTATAAACAAGAGCCTTCATTCAGCAGGCACCTGAGGCCATGGTGCATAACGGTAGACCAGGCTCTGGTGTTGGAATCTGGCCTATTGGGCCATTATGTGACCCAAAATTTTCAACTATTAGTTATTTTGACTCTCTGGTTACTACGTGTTAATGCATCTATAATCCTCTATTATTAATTCTGTTCCTGCAAATAACCCATACTACAATCAACTACTCAGAAAGCATCGATCCCCTTTTTAGACAGCCTCAATATGTACCCCAGTTGGCCTCAAACTTGTGTTCCTTCTGTGTGAGCTTCTTAGTGCAGAGATTATAGGGGTGCACCATAACAGTAGCTTAAACTATCTATTCTTAAAGACAGAGTGTTATCAACATCTGGCAAAAGTGGGAGCCAAAGTGTGGAGGTTAACCTCTCAAAAATAAATACTAAATTAAATTTTACAGCCTCTCTAAGAATCTCATAATGAAGGTGGCTATCATTAAACTCAAATACCTAAACACTAGGCTCTGTTTTAGAAGGCTTTCTCTTCTACTCACTTTAAGACCTCTTAATAGTAAACAGACATGTCTGTTTGAGGCAGAATCTTTCTTGCTGTATAACCCTGGCTGGCCCAGAACTTGCTACGTAGACTAGGCTGGCCTCAAACTCATAGGGGTCCTTCTGCATCTGCCTTCCAATGCTGGAATTAAAGGCCTGAGCCACTACATCCAGCTGTAAATGGAGATCTGAAACACCTTAGTCAAGAACGAAAGTAAAAGAAGGCCCTTTGTTCTACTCTGAACTGTAACATTCTCTGGGTAACCTGCATTTTCCACTGGCTATGCCTGACTCTGAAGACCACCTGCAGGGGCAGAATGCAGGGCAAACTTGCTTACAGCAGCCATGGAATGCTGTCCGTCCCCACCCTTCATGTCACTGGTAACAGGCTCAGACCTTAGGCATTAGACTCTGCCACTTTAAAGGACACGATGACAAAGTGCAAGTTACTGCTGCATCTGTACTGTGAAAATGAGCACCAGAGTTGCGATACGTAAGACAGCTTCAGAAAATCAGACAAGGTGGCTAACTACTTCAAATTTTGAGAAATTATCACAAATAAAATGTGATTTGATACAAAACATATAGGTATGCATACACATGTGAACTTCAGGACAGATTTCAAGGGATAATATGTTTTACTAGAGTATTTACTTCTTAAACTTTGTGAACGAGAATCTCAACTGTCTGAGGCAAGCATCAGCACCTTTCTTCTCAAATGCCATCTTAATACAGTGTAACCCACAATGTCCACTGTGCTGTATGACACAGTAATTTTATCTCAAGAGATGACTCACTGGCATCGTCACCACCTTCAGGTAACCCACCTGGATTGGCCCCACAGACATCAGCAGGCTCTTCAACTGGGCATCAGTGGTGGATGAGGACAGCCCTTCCACGGACACCACACAGGGCTGTGGCTTGCATTCCACCACTCGAAGGTTCTGCTTATTTGGCATTAGGCGCCCCCGGCCCATGGGACCTGCCACTCCTCGGCCTCGTCCATGCATGATGGCCTGGCAATGACAAAGAAGATGCATTCTGATATCTGAGTGGATTTTTCCTGTAGTAGCTAATAAAGTACAAAGTAAGCATGTGCCCAGGACCCATGAAGACATGCTGTGAGCCATAGAATCTTCTGTGTGTTAATCTGCCATTAGAGGGTGGCCTAATAGCTAACTGGCAAAACATCAGCAAGTGGAATAGGGCTAAGATGGAAGTCCCAGAGTTCTGCAGCTATCATTGGGAATGATTCTGGTGTTATTTTTATTCATGATACAAACACTGCAGCAGACACTGCCTGCAATTAGCACAGGGAGGGATCAGAACCCATTCTAACTGCCCCAAACACACACTTCTTCCACCATGGCATAAGCCAGTAAACACATGGTGTACATAGTGCTAAATCTCCAACATTAACAATGAGTCATATGCAGCTTCCGAGATCCAACTCAAATGGGGAAGGCTTATATTCACCCTCAAGCCTCTGAAACAAGACTTCATAGCCATGTGTGACAATCACCTCCAGAACTTTTATACAATCACACACCAATCTGTCAGTAAAAGGACCCCCAAAACACCATCTTTCAAAGCTACCCAAGTGTCAGAACTACAATGAAGAGCCTTTTAAAAAAGAAGAGATAGTTGGCATTTCCAGCATTTTCAACTAGTAAGACAATTAAAGAGAGACTGCCTAAGTCTGCAGTTTTCTAGCCAGGAGTGTAGAGACACTCCTAGAAGTGAAGGGACAGCAGTTCCAGGATTCACACCAGAGACAAGTCAAAAGTGAATCTACCAGTCTTCGCTTTCATTACAGAAAGTCACAATATAAACACTCGAGTGCAAATTTCAGCCAGATACTAGGTTTTACCATAACTGTCTTATAAAAGCCTCACAACAGCTCTAACAAGTGAGAAATACCATTGGCCTCTTGAAGGAGAGCTAAGGGGGTTGGGGTGGGGGGTGAAGCACTTCTAGCACGCCTGCATGTAATTTTCTAAAGTTATGTTCTTCATACAGCCAGGGGGGAGGTCGGAAAGGAAATGCAGCCTCCAACAGTCTGTGAGACCAACCACTTTATTGCTGTATTTATCACTAAAGTGTGCACATCTGCCAGGAGCAGCAGTCATCTATTGGCTCCTATCTCATTAAGAGATAGACATTAAGAGAGACAGCACACGCAAGGTAAATGGAACACTGCCTGAGCAGACCCCACATCTGAAGAGCCAGCACCAGTCTCCTTCTGCCTGGCCTCACCTGCACCTCAGTCATGAGCTACTGCTACAGCACTTGTCTGTTCATCTAGAAGGGTGCCTTTCCCCCAGAAGCTGAGGAACAGTACACTGTCACTTCTCTGCCCACAACATGACTAGACTGGCTTCCTTGAGAAGCAACAGGGAGCCTGTGGGCTCCAGGCCCTCCCACCTGGCAGGCTGGGCTGAGAGATGACCTTCATTCCCTTCCACACCTCCACAGGGCTTTGTCTCTCTCTCCACTCCACAGGAGTAGTCACTGACAGGAAGAACAGAGTCCTAGTTCTCCATTAGGGACAGCCCTGGTGTCAAGTGGGAAGGAACACGGGTGCCAGTGCTACCTGTGCAGTGCAGTGGTGTTCAGAGGTACAAGACAGCCACACTCTCCAGTTGTACCACCGAGTAAATGACTAGAGGGAAAGGCTTTCTACACCAGGACTAAGAAAACAATGGCTCGTTTACTAATGCGAATATTAACAAGCACCAGAAAAACCACCTAATGCCAACTTCTCTCCATCAGTGGCCAGGAAACTACAGGGGACAGGGCCCTTCCATCTCAGTACCTTCTTGGCTGGGTGAATCCCTTGGATGCTTTTGATCCCTGGAGGAATAGCCGGGTACATGTGGGGCCCCACAGGCAGGTGCTGGGGCTGCTGAGGGCCCCCCTTGGTCAGCGTCACCTTGCGAGTAGACTGCTGTCTCATGTCCGGAGGCTGGGGAAGCCGCTGGGGTTGGCTCTCTGAGTGAGAAAAGGCATCACTCTCTCCTCCCTGCTGAAATCAACAAGGGAGCAGGCGGATCAGTGTCTGCCCACCATTCTGGCCAAGCACTGGCACCCATAGCCAATGCTGACCTCGAGGCAGAACCTTTCAGACATAAATAATACCAAATCTGCCTCTTTCCTGGAGCCAGTAGGGAAACTTCTCATTGGGCAGTGGTTAAGGTTTTAAATACAGTATTTTTGAAATTTAAATCATTAAATTTTCTTTTAATGAATACATCCATTTAAAGGGCTGCAATGAACACAAGTACTGTTTAATTTGTATGGCTAAATTGTAAAATGACTTCATTTTTACTGTCAAGAACACTTCTGTTGAAAACTGACAGTGTGCACAAGCAGTAGTCATAAAACTCGGCAGTTGCTGCTCAAATCCACCACAAATGGGGAAGCTGCCTGGCTCCGGTGTCTGTTGTAGGAGTCAACTGGAGCCAGGCAGCTTCCCCCCATCTGAGGATATGTACCACCAGAAGGTTTCACAGTGAGTGAATGCCAGAGAAGTAGTACATATGCTTGGCTAAGAGCTTTGGAAACATCCATAACCTGTTTCCTGGTCCTTCTGTTCTCTATCTCAATTGCTCCTGACCACAAGGACCATGAGGCATGCCCACGTCAAGCAGGCATCTGAGTCTACTGTACTACCAAGCAGCAGCATAAAGACAGTCTGTGGGTGAGGCCTATGGGCAATCTGCAGTTTTCAGCACAGTGTTTCAAAGAATGACTGGTGAGTGGGACCAAAAGATCAGATAAGAAGAATCCTGCTCCGCTATATCATGTAATCTTTGTAGAAATGAATGCTGGGCCTTGAGAAGTGGCACTAAACTTGTACTCCTTCTGACCTGAAGAGGCATACATCAGGTGATGGTTGGTAACCTTTCCACACAGGCTGCACAAACTTGAGAGTAATGGGTGACAACCTAGCAAATGATTTCCAAAGAGGTACGTGTTCATATGCACCTCCAATTTCCACTCTGCTATAGCTGGATTGTAGTTTATCCCCATTGAAGCCATGCTGAAGTTTAACTGTTAGTGCAATTGTATGAAAGGCCATGAAGCCCTTAGAGGTGTTTTGGTTAGAGGGGCTGCACCCTCAGGAAGTGATTAATGTGGTTCTGGAGAATGGGTTAGTTATGCCACTAGCTATCAAAAAGCACCTGGCCTCTTATGTCCCCCTCTCTTCTGCAAGCATCTGTCTGACTTTACTCCGTGAAGCCCTCATCAGAATTTGGATCCTGGTACCATACTCTGAAATTTCCCAGCCTGGAGAATCAAGAACCAAAATTAACCTCTTTTCTTCATCCAGCTTCTGGTATTTTGTTATAACAATAGAAAAAAAGACTTAGAAAATCGCCTAAATTATCTTTTAGAAACTCCTTGGTGGAACAAATGGGCCTTCAAGGAAAAGCAACCAATGTAACTATGACCCAAGAAAAGATAAGCTTAAAACTGTTACAAGGAGACAGAGCTTTGACCCACTGCAGCTGTCTCTCCAAAACTTTACAGACTTGCTAAACAACCATTTCGGGGCAGTGCAATCAACACAGTTGTGGTGATATATTGTGTACCCTAATCAAATTTACCTGATGATCAGAGGACAAGAATAAGTCACTAGAATAATCATAGAGGTCAGACAGTGGTGGCACGCACCTTTAATCCTAGCACTCGGGAGGCAGAGATTCATCTGGATCTCTGTGAGTTCAAAGCCACCCTGGACTACATGAGATTGACGCACTCTAGGAGAGAAACAGAGCCAGAGCAGTGGTAGCACGCACCTTTAATCCCAATACTTGGGAGTCACACGCCTTTAATCCCAGCACTTGAAATCTCATGCCTTTGCTTGGGAAGTCACATGCCTTTAAACCTAGCACTAAGAAGGAAGTGAGGGTGGAGAAAGATATATAAGGCGTGAGGAGACAGGAACTAAAGCCTTTTTGGTTGAGGCTTTTCAGGCTGAGGAGTCCTAGAGGTAAGAGGTTGCTTGTTCCTTTGTCGGAACTTCAGGGTACACAATATATCAGCACACACAGTGAAAAACAGGCGACTGAATACTGTTTGCCAGGACTGAGTGTATATGCACTGTACAGAACTGGATCATCCCATGGACCCACAAGTTTCTGGGGCTGTAGCCCTGTCTGAAGACTGAAAGAGCCACAGAGAGTCCAGGCACTTTCCAGGGTGCCTTCAGGCTAGGGGAGAAATATGACCTGAAGGGCTGGGCTAAGCTATGCAGTACCAGTCTAGCACTAAGAAAGTCATATTAAGAACTAATGATTAAAAAGAAGAGAAAATGTTTAAAGCAAATATATAATACATCAAAACGTAGGGATTTAAATGCTAGTTATAGCAAAAAGGAGGGGAAAAGACCTAACATCAAGTTGAAATCTTAAGAGGAACCAGCCCCACTTCCAAACAAAGCAAGGAGACAATGAAGACCACCCTCAAGAGTGGGGACAGAGAAGCCTCTTCTCCATCAGTCCCACAGGCTATTCTGAGAGCAAACACCACACTCCTTTAACCATCCTGAAGAAGAAGAATGGGCAGAGCACAAATGTTCCTATATTAGAAAACAAAGAGGGACCATAACAATGGACTCCCAAAGCTGTGAAAGGGATGTATGAATACTATGTCATCACATTAATCAACAAAGTGGGCCCATCGTACAAAACCCAAACTGACTAGAGCTCTAAGGAGCAAGGACACAGAATTAATGAAGAGACGTTTCTCACAAAGAAAGACTCCAATCTCCTCCCAGGGGATTTTTACCACAGAGCTAAAGTAAAAGGGGGGATGGGAGGCCTATGTTCTGGCTCATTCTCCAAAGTGACCACAAAGCCACCAATATCAAAAAGAAAAGACACCAACTAAAGAACATCCCTCAAAAACATACACATAAAAAACAAACAAACCAAAAACACTTTCATCAAGATGTTAGCTGATTCACTCTAGCAAGACAGAAAAGGCGTCTCACATGATGGCCAAGTATAAAATTCAACTCTTAAATAACTAGTGTACCATAACATGATCTAGCTATGGACAGCTAGACCCCAGCCTGAGGGGCACTGGCCTTACAACAGTCTACTCTTTCCCCTTAGTGGGGGCAGGCAGGTCATTTCAAACATTTTACCATAGAAATTCTTCAGTATGTACAAAAGGAGATAATCCAGTCACTTTTAAAATATTTTGAAAAATAGAAGCACTTAGAACAGGCCTTTCCTGCCTGGATGCATCTGCTAACCCTACGGACAAAAGCTTCTCAGGACTCTTGACAGGCAGAGGGCAACAGCCCGACTTTCTGAGGACCACGGTCCAAATAAGGAGTCTGCAAGCATTTCCACAAGCTCTCACTGAGTGGAAGGTTAATTCTGGACAAACGTGTGTGCCCTCTCCAACTGTGAGTACCACCTAAGTTTGAGGCACGGCAGGGTCTTAACCATCAAGAGCACGGCACACCATTCCACACTTTCTACCTATCCTTCACCCTGTGACTGTGACCAGGAACATGCCAGGGTCTGTGGCAAGTTTTCTTTCAGCCCTCCCCATAAGCTGGATAGTAAAATCTTTGTTTTGCACATAGGACAGAGGCCTTTGGCCACACATGCATACCACCAAAGCACCACCCAGAGGTGACCAAGCCTCATGCAGTTCCACCTCACTGCTTGTGACATCTCCTTTTGTGGCTCAGGATGGCCTGGAACCTGTGGTGATCCTCCTGTGTCAGCCTTCCCACTGCTAAGATCACATAGTTTGCTCTCAACTAGATTGTTTTAATTAAGCTATCATAATGCTGTGCTTTATAACTTTTTATGAAACTCATTCTAAGCACTCAAGGCTTAAATATAAACAAACGAGTTATTTCCTTTTGAAAAGAAACAGAAACATTTTTTTTTCCCCAATTGAGAGAACAAATACTATATTTGTACAATGAAAAGCTAATTCTAGGGAGTTTTTTTTTTTTTTTTTTTTTACTCTGGATTAACTTTAGAAAATGGCCACTTGGCATGCTAACAGGCCATTGCCAGGAACACATTTTTATATCCACAGTAATGCACATAAACATGGTGAGTGTCAAGCCAAACTAAATCAACCCTATATCCATAAGCTTGCTGTGATCTGTACACCCAGTTCTAGCACGGAAAACAGACCTGTAATTATTAGTCCGAAGTTACACAAGGTTTAAAATATTGCTGCTTCAAATTAGGCATCTTAGAAATCTGTTGCTGAGATGTAAGCAAACCAGTATCCTGGAGCGGTTAGCAGATTACATTCCCATATAAAAGCAGGCTTGCAGGAAGAGCAGTCTCCCCAAGAAGCATGGGGCATGCTGTAACTTCTGGCACAGTAGTTTCTCTAAAGCAAATGAGGAGGAAGAAGTTGTGCCCATCTTAACCCCATGTAGAAACATACTGTAGAATTGCTCTAAAATGATCGCCCTTTAAGGAATACAATAAAAATGTCTCTTTAGACTAGTATTTGGTTTTTAAAATACCTATTTGAATTAAGTAAGCCCAGGGAATACTTTTTATCAGCTTAATCTTACAAAAAAAAAAAAAAAAAAAGAGGTTTGTGGCCATCAACATTAGCAGGACAAATTTATTTATAACAAATGGTTTAAATGTACAGATAAAAATGCCCACCGATACTGTCAGGGCTTCTTGCAATTTGACAGATCAAATCTTATTTTCATTCTTTAAAGCCCATGAAGAAGTGGTATCGCTGAGTTGCATTCACTAGCAGGCAAATTGATTAATCCCTCTCCATAGAACCTCAGCCCTTGATTATACCTATCAGGCGTTAAGCAGCATTATTCTGGAGTGACAACACTTGACAAATTCCCCAATCATTTTCCTCAGCCTTTGTGGCCCTGCTAGCTTGTATTAACCCTGATGAAAAATTAATTTTCCTTATCTTCTTCTAAACCCCAAAATCCAAATCCGCCAAACTGGCAACTCTTTCTGTAAAGGTATTATGAAAACCTCTAAAAGATTAATTGCATGT